CGGCCCTGTGGACGCTGATCCAGTGGCGCGCCAAGGTGGGCGCGCCGAGCTCTCCCGATTCTTTCTTTTACCGAGGCATACTTGGCCGCGCCCCAGCTCCCCTGGCTGCCCTGGAATTGGGGGACTGGGTGATCCAACCGATGCCGCAGCGCACCTTCTACGCCCGTCCTTGAACCTCTAAGTCGGCGTGCTGCTCAACGTGGCCCCCATGGGCGAATAACCTCCTTGTAGCGAAACTGGCGGAGACGAGGGGGCTTCAGCATTGGGCGGCCCGCGGCGCTCGCAATGCAGTGGCCAATCATCATTCTCTGCGTTCAGCTGCTGCGCTCGCTCCGTGCCGTGCTATATCGAAGGCGGTTTGGCGAGGTGGCCGGCCCGCGGCCGAGGTCCTCGTCGCCCGCGCAATCCTGGGCGCTGGGCGCCCGGGCATCTCCGACCCCGCGAACGTCGCCTTGGTGACTTCCGCCGCTCCTTCGCGGCACTCCAGCAGGGGTCTTGGGGCCAGCGGGCGAGGTCGCTGCGCGTGGGGGGGCGTGCTCGTGAAGCGCCCCCTTCAATCAAGCGTGGCTCCGTGTAGGGAGGGTGCAGGGGTTGTTCCGGGATCGCGGCGAGCTGGGCGCCCGCCGTCGAAGACTTGGAGCTGGGGGCCATCGAGGTCTTGCGCGACTACTCGAAGGAGGACTCGCCCTCGGAGATGGCACTGGAGCTGCAGGGGCGTTGGGCGCCCGCCTTCTAAGCAAGGCTTCCAGGCGCTAAGCGTGTTCGACGCTGCCTTGAAAAGCACGTGGCCAAGTGCGCCTGCTCTCTGACGAGCGTCCTCACGCAGGGCAACATAAAACCTCTCATTGCCAATCTCAACAACTCAGTTCGGGGCCCCGATGGCACGCCATGCGTGGCCCGGCGAAAGTCCCAACGCTGCGCGAATTCTTTTTCGACGTGACTATCCACATGGTGTCGGGTTGCCCTTCCCCGTTCATCTTCGACGATTCGCTTGTGATTTTCAGTTCGGAAGGATCGGGGTCAGATGGCGCGACTTTGGCGACGCGCGTTGCCGGGGCGACCGGGCCATCGTCCTAGAAGAGCGCCTGTTGGAAGATCGCGGCGGCTACAGGCAATGATTTGATGAAGCTCGTAGTCGCCCGGGGCGCTCGCCGTGCGGCAGGAGGCTTTCGCCCGAAGCGCAGGTTCAAGGAAAGCGCAATGATGGTGGGCGCGCAGTCCCGCGCCGCCGCCGTGCAGGGTGACGTCGAGACGAAGGACCTGTTCATGGTCCTCTTCGAGTTTGGAGACGCGTCCCCGTCCATGTGCGGCGCTTCCTGAGCGGGGTGCTGGAGCTCGCTGGCATCCCCGACAGCGTGAGGTGCATGGGCGACGCGATCAGTCAGCCCCCAATTTCCTGGGCTGGCCGCCGAGGATGAGGAATGAGACGTGGTCTCTGCGTCGTGTCGGGCGCCTTCTTCCTCGGTCTCTCTCGCGCGACGACCTCCTCGCGATCTCCCGCGCGTCGACGCTGAAGGCGACGCCGCTCGAGCTCGTGGTCCGCGCCGCCATGGGGAGGGGCGCCAAGGAGACGGTGCGCATCTAGGGCCCGTGAGCGCGGTGTCTCCGACGTGCCGGCGATGGCGGGGCGACGTCTTAGCTGGGGTGCTGGGCCCGTTCGCGCCGCGCACTGGGAGGAGAAGGCGCCCGCCCTCGCGCTCGAGGAGGCGGCGCGCCGTTTCCCGAGCGACAGGGGCACGGCCGTGAAGCAGGCCTGTAGCATGGCTTTGGGCGCCTGGCGCGAGCAAAATTTGCTCGCCAACGCTGCCCGCGTCATCGCTAATTCTCGTTTGCAGAAGTTTGCGCGTGCTCGACTCTACTCAGCGCTCCTCCGCGACCGCTCCCCCCATCGCTATCGCCTTTCGTTTTCGGAGCTGGCCGGCGCCCGACCCAGCATCCGGCCGCGGCGGATTGAATGGGATGGGTTCGAACAGCTCTCCGCGCATTGTCTCCACCTGCCGCCGAGTCTGCCCTCGTCAAGTCTGGGGTTGGCGTGTGGACCACCAACCGCTGCCTTCGCGCCGTCTCCGAGGCGGAGGGATCGTGCGGCTATGGTTGCCAGTTGCGTGGCGTCCCTTCGGCCTGTGGTAGCGTGGCTCGCTGCGTGCGTTGCTCGCGCTGCGTATTCGGCCTTGCACAGTCGCCCCCCTGCTCCCGAGGGCTTGCTAGCCCGATGTGGATTCCGCCAAGGCGAGTCGGCGGGGCCCCAGCGGCTGGCTCTGGAGCGCGCGATCATAGCATTTCGAACTTGCAACGGTTAGCCACTTAGTCGAAGGGTAGCCCCATGACGTGGTCGCATCCTGCTGTGGCTTTGGAGGAGTGCCCGTTCTGCGAAGGCAGTGCTCCTCCATGCATGCAGACGTGCTTCGTGGCAGCGCGCTGGGACCTGCGTGGCGCTGGAGTACGACGTTTTCCTTTTATATATCAAATGAGGGTCGGTGGGTAGATGTATATGTGTATTCTGGTGTATCTATTTATACATATGTATTTTTATGTATTAGTAGATGTATATGTATACGTGCATGTCAACGTGTACGTATTTGGAAACATTTGTGTATATACATATATCTGGAACGTGTACGTCAACGTGTACATGTGTACGTGTACGTATTTGGAACGTATGTGTATCTGTTTATACAGGTGCATCTGTTTCTGTCCATGTTTAGGTTTCTGTGCATGCACATTCATATCTACTTGTCTGTGTCTTCGTATGAATAGTTTTATGTAATGTATTTGTGTTGATTCACGTACATGTACATGTACATGTACAGTTACACGCACATATATGTGAACACATAACTGTTTATGCATGTGTATGTGTATATGCAGGTGCTTATATGAATGTATATGTATATGTAGATGCAATTGTAGATGCATCTGTATTTGCATATGCTTATACTTCACTGCTTATGTATATGTATATGTATATGTCCACATGCTTAGGCATACGCATCTTTATCTGTTTACGCATACGTATGTGTGTGTATATGTACATGTACTTGTATACGTACACGTTTACTCACACGTATGTGTATGCATATACGCTCTACGTGTACGTATACTGCTGTATATATGTGTGTGTGGGTGCCCGTTTTTGTGCATGCATCTTTTTTTTCTGTTTGGTTATATGTCGATGAATATGATGATGTAGTGTTATGCTTATGTGTAAGTATCTGTGCTTTTATATGTACATGCATGCATTTATTCATACGTTCATGTGTATTTTTTATGTGTACGTTTATATTTATACACATGTGTGTATACACATACATACACGTGTTAACACATGTACATGTACATGTACATGCATACGTTCATGTATGTGCAGCTACAAAGGCCAACGTATATGTACATGTTCGTATGTATGATTGCAGTGATTCCTCGACGCGCGGGGGCTCTGGCTTCAAGCTCCCATTCACCGGGCGCCCTCGCGCGCCCGTCCCTCCCGCGCACCTTCCAGTGGATGCGCGCCTCGCCCCTGGCGGCTGCGGCGCCCTGCGTGCACCTGACCCCTTGCGGGGCCGGCACCTTGCCGGCCGGCGCGGCCCCTGGCGCGGGCCCCGCTACCCGGGGCGTGGGTCCGCAGCTGCCTGCGCCGCTTCGCCTCGGAGGCCGAGGCAATCGCGGGCTACCCTGCCGAGGCTGACCGCCACGGCGCCCCGGTGCCGCCTCTCCTCCACCGCGGGGGAAGATGGCTCAGGAGGAGAACGCGTTCGACACTGGCGAGGAGGAGGTCGAGGACCTGGGCGCCTGGTTTGGGCACGCCGCGCCCCAGAACGTGGCGGCCGCGTCCCTGCTGCCCGCCCCTGCTGCTGGAGGGATCGCTGGGGAGTTCGGGTTCCTCACTCTGAAGGACAGCGTCGACTCGGACTACGAGGTCACGGTGGCGGCGTTGCGAGTGCGGGCCGACGCCCTCTCGACTGGCGGTGGTGCCCTCGGGTCGGCTCGACGCGGCCTACGAAGCCATGCATCTGCCAGCCTGGGATCGCGTCGGGTCGCCTTTGGACGGCCAGCTGCTCTCGGCCGAGATCATGGAGACCCCGAGCGCCTTGGTGAGGCGCTTCGCCTCCGCGCCCCCCGCCGAGGGCGAGGTCTACGCCTTCCACGACGATGGCTGGTGGCCCGACCCCGTGGCTGCCGTGAACGCGGTCCCCGCCGAGATGCTGGCCACTCTGGACTCCCTGCGTGGCGCTGGCGAGCCCGCGCTCGAGGCGACAGGCGCACCTCAGGAGATGGGGCCGGCGTCGTCCGCCTTCGGACCGCAGCTCCGCCCCCCTCTGGTGCCCGGGCTGCAGCCAGTGGCCGCAGGGGCTGGGTTCGGCGCGTGGTTCTCCGGGGAGGCCTCTCCGCTCCCTCCAGCCGCCGCGACGCCTCCGAGCGAGCTGTTGGAGCAGTCGCAGCTGGGTGCGGTCGAAGAGTTGAGGAACCTGGCCGCGGAGGTGGCGGAGCTCAAGCGGCAGCGGGCAGCCTTGCACGCGCGGCCATCTGCGCCGCCCGCCGCCTCGAAGGCTCCGACCCGGAAGGCCGCCGCCAGGAAGGCGCCGCAGCAGCAGCAGCAGATCCTGGAGCAGATCTTGGCCGGGCAGAACGCGCTCTTGGGGGGGATCGCAGCCTTGGGGGCCGGCGCAGGGCCATCTCGGAAGGCGGCGGCCCCTCCAGACTGGCGCCTGCCTCAGGCGGCCAGCATGGCCCCGCCCTTCGGACTCCTCGGCCCTCCTCCCCTTGGCGGTCCTCCGCCGGCGGCTCTCGGAGGCGGGGTTCTAGCCCCTCAGGGCCTGCCCGCCGCGCGCGCCGCGGCTGCCGCCGCCGGGCCTCCTCCGCCTCGCCGGGGAGGTGCGGCGAACCCGTTCCTGCAGCGGCCCCTCCCCGGCCAGGCGACCGCGGGCCCCCCAGGCTTTGCTCCGACGCAGGGCCCTCCGCCCCCGCCTCCGCGCGGCCCAGTCCCTCCTCCTGCGAGCCAGACCACAGAGCCCCAGCCCTCCGTGGCTCCCACGGGAGCCGGCGACCGCGAAGAGCAGCTGATGGCCCTGTTCGCTCGGCAGGCGTCACTGATGGGGGCCCTGGCTCAGAGCGGCGGTCGCCAGCCCGACGCGCCGTCGCTCCTCGCGGACGGCGGGCGCGACGACGGGCTTGGCGAGAGCTCTGGCATGCGACTTGGCGGCGCGCGCGGCGCCGCCGCCCTGGAGCTGTTCCGACGCCAGGTCCAGAGCAGCCCCCAGGCCGTCTCCGCCCTGGCCAGGCGGAATCGCCAGCTCAACATGACGGGCGCTGCGAGCGAGGAGGGCATGAGCGACTCCACGCGGAACTACTTCGCCCGCAACGTCCCGTTCGGGCAGGCGAGGTCGTCGGCCTTCCTGGTGTTCGGCATGGCGGAGGTGTTCGACCTGATGGGGCGCGGCGCGTGGCACGCCGCCGAGGCTCAGCTGGCGCTCCTCCTCTGCGCGTCGGAGCAGGCGGCCCTGAGGGAATGGCGCTGGACGTCAGCCTGGCTGCTGACTCACCTGCCCGAGCCGCCCTGGACTTCGATCCGCCAGGCGCCGGCCCGCGGCCAGATCCGCCCCATGTCCCGCTTGGCCTCGCCCGAGTGGGTCGCTGCAGCGATCGGCTACACCAAGGGCACGCTGGCCCTCGAGGACGCGGAGCGGAAGCTTGCGCCGGCCGCGGCACCGAGGGCCGAGGAGGGCGGAGGAAAGGGGGGGGGCTCGAAGCGCCAAGGCAAGGCCGCTGGCGCTCCCCCTCACGAGTGAGAGCGGGGCTCCCTGGGCTGGCTGGCCCGGGAGCTCTGCATGGCGCTGCCCCAGCCTCTCTGCCGCGCGGACGCGCGGGGGACCGCAGGAGGCTGGTGGGCGGCAGCAATTCACTGGACGTGGGCATTCGCTGGGGCTTTGGCCTGATCCGCCGCCTGCGCGGGCTCCGCGCGGCCTTCGGCGCCTTCGTCCGCTCTTCCATGCACGCCGCTGGGTTCCAGGAGGTTGCGACTCCTGCCGCCGGTCTGCTGCCCTGCCCCCCGCCCTTCGGGTGGGCTGCTGGTGCCCCCCCGCGGGGCGTGCGCGCTCGCAGGCGATGGCTCCGCATTCACGTCGAGCACATGTGGGTCAACGCCGTCGTCCTCGCGCTCTCCCACTTGCACTGGGGCGAGTCGCGGAGCTGCCCGCCGCTCGCCCGCGCTGGGAGGCCTCTCAGTTCGTCTCAGTCCGAGATGGTGTCCAGGCTGAGTAGGCTCGTGCGACCGATGTGCCGGCCCCTGCAATGGCAAGGTGGCCGCGTGGAGGCCGACGCTCTGCTCGACTATCTCCTGCGTGCGATCCATCTCCCCGTGGGCGCTGTGGCGCCCGCTCCCGACTGCGAGATGACGACCATTGACCCGAGCAAGGCCCCCTTCGCCAAGGCCGAGTGCCACTTTGACCCCCTGGCGTTCCTGGCCCCGTTTGCCGCCGCCGCGTTCTTGGAGCCGCGGCTGCTGGCGCGGGATGGGCCGGGCGCCGGCCCTCCGGCGCGCGCGGTCGGGCCCCCGGCCCGGCCCGCTCCTGCGAGGGCGGCCCGCCAGGCGGGCAAGCCGGGCGACCTCCTCGAGTACCTGAAGCAGTGGGACGACGTGGGGCGACTGGAGCTGGTCGACGCGGCCGACTCCCCGCAGTCCCTGCGAGGCACCCTGTGTCCCGTGTTCAAGGACGCCAGCACGCAGAGGGTCGTCTTCAATCGCATCGCTCGCATCTCGTCTGAGTTGCCACTGGGTGGCTTCTCCAGGCTGACCCCGAGCGCCGCCATGCTGGTGGACCTGGAGGTGCCTGCTGGTTCCGTCCTTCGCGTGTGGGCGGACGACCTCCAGGACTTCTACCCCGCCTTTGACTGCACCTACGACATGGCTTGCACCAACGACGTGGCGCTCCCCCTCCCGACGAGGCTCTACGAGGGTTTCGCAGCGCTGGGCCGGCTTCGGAAGCGCTGCCGTCGTGAGGGCCGCGAGCTTCCCGAGAAAGTGGTTCCCTGCCACGGCGGCCTGATCATGGGGGGCCTGAACGCTCCCGACTGGGCGTGCGAGTCCCACGTGCGACTGCTCGTCCAAGCCGGCAGCTTCCCCCCAGAGCGGCCAGTGCTGAACCGCCACCTTGCCCCCGAGGGGTCTGCCTGGGAGGGCGTCGTGCTGGGCGACCACTTCGGCCTGGCTGTCGACGCTCCGGGCTCGCGGGGAGCTCGGCGAGCTATCGAGGAATCCTTCGCCCGCGCGCGCGAGGGCTATGCGAAGGCGGGCCTCAGGGTCAGCGCTGGCAAGGAGGTGAAGGACGCGGCGGAGGCGACGGTCATCGGGGCAGAGCTCCTGGGTCACGACCGGCTCGTCGGCGCCTCCCGCGCCCGCAGGCTGGCGCGGGCCTGGATGGGCCTGTCCATGGCTCGGGGCCGACGCTCCACTACGCTGGGACTGCAGAGATTCCTTGGCATGGGGCTCTTCGCCGCGCTGTTCCGGCGGCCGACTCTGTCGCTTCTCCACCACTGCTACAAGGAGGTCGACGTCGACCGCAACCCGCACGAAGTGTTCGACCTGAGCAGCGCGGCCTGCAACGAGTGCGCTCTGTTCGCAGTCCTCCTCCCGCTGATGGCCACCGACCTCTCCGCGGGCTGGGGCCCGCACGTTCTGGCCTCGGACGCCTCGCACCTGGCCGGGGCGTCCGTCAAGACGCCGGCCTCAGCGCCCACCGCCAGAGCGTTCTGGCGCCAGCGCGAGCAGCGAGGCGCTCGCACGTGGCTGTACCCCTCAGGCTGGGCTGCCATGGCCAACCCCGAGGACGGCGCCGTCCCGCAGGACCTGGAAGAGGATGCCGCACCTCCCCCTGGCATTGTCGACCCGACGGCCTCGCTCATCGAGTACTTTGACGTGCTGGAGCTCTGCTGCGGGGAGGAGGCCCGCCTCATGGGGTACCTCTCGGGCCGGGGCCTGCGCGCAGGCCCGAGGATAGACATCAAGTGCCGCAAGTGCTGGGACCTGGTCGACTCGCGCCTAGCGGAGTGGATAGTATGGCTGATCTGGCAGAGGCGCGTCAAGATGACCATATCGCAGGTTCCGTGCACCAGCTTCTCGATCGCGAGGCACCCAAGGCTCAGGTCCAGGATGCGGCCCTGGGGATTCGACCCACCCTCGACCCCGACGCATCTGGGGAACGTCCTCTTCAGGGTGGGCATGCTGGCGCTGTTCGCCCACCTGATCTCTGGCCACGGGGCCGCTTTGCACGAGCATCCCCTGACGGCCTACTCCTGGCGCACGCACATCGTCGAGTTCCTGCTGACGCACAAGGCCGTGGACCGCTTCGACCTCTCGATGTGCCAGTTCGGCGCGCCTTGGAAGAAAGACACTAGCCTCCTGGTAGTGCGGGGCTCCTGGCTGGCGCCTATGGCGAGGCGCTGTCGCGGAGGGCACAAGCACGCCGTCTTGGAGGGCGGCCTGACCCCCAAGGCCGCGCTCTACCCGCACGGCTTCTGTGACGAGCTGTCCAAGCTGATCGCCGACAACCTGGACGGGCCGACCCCGCCGCCCCCGGCGGAGAGTTCGGCGCCCGCTAGAGCGTTCGAGGCCCTCTGGCTGAACGACTACGTCGGCTTCGCTCCCTGGCAGCTGCACTGCCACCGCCTTTTCCGCAAGCCCCTCCACGTCGACCTACTGGAGATCGACGCAGCTTGCGACGCGGTGGACGAGCAGGGCCTACGGTTCCCTGATTGCAAGCACAACCTCCTCCTGGACTCCCGCGTCTCGATCGGGGCCATCAGCAAGGGCCGCTCCTCGTCGACTGCGATCAACAAGCTCTTGAGGAGGAGGGCCCCGTTGCAACTGGCCACGGGCTCGTACGTTGGGTGCCACTTCGCGCCGACGCGCCTGCAGCCAGCTGACATCCCGTCGCGCACGCTCCGCGACCCGGCGAGCGCTCTGGCCCGCGGGGCCGAGGCCCCGCCGCCCGCTCCGTGCTGGCTGGCCGGCCTCGAGGCCGGGGGCGCCTCAGCCTTCCGCGCTTGGGCTGCGCTCCCGCTGCAGCGCCGGCAGCAGTCGCGGTGGGCTTGGCTGGTGGCGTGCCTCTGGTGGCGCGGGCCTCCTGCGGCTCGCCCCTCGACCGCGGGTGCGCGACCCCGCGCTGGGCTTCCCGGGCGAGGGCCCGCGCGGCGGAGGCGGCTGGCCTGAGAGGCCCCCTATGGAGGTGAGCAGGGTTTCATCCCCTGGTCAGGTGACGGCCCGGCTCCTCCCGGGTACGGCCAGCCTCCATCAGGGTCGGGCTCGTGGAACCCTGGCACCGGCCTCCTGCGCCGCTGCAGCCTGGCCGGCGTGGCCGCTGGGCCGCCTCTTCGGGCTCCTGGTGCTGCTGCTGCTGTGGGACCCTGCTGCCGCGCCGCGCCCGCCGACCGCCCGCCCCGCTGGGGTGGACTTGGCGGCCGCGCGCGGTCTGACGCCAGTGGTCCAGGCGCGCCGTGCTGCCCTCGTCTCGCAGCTCCAGCACTGGCTGGCGGGCCACGGCGGGCCCAGCTGGGACCTGTTCATCCTGATGGACCCGGCGACGGTGGCGCGCTACCTGGCTAAGTACGGCCAGTTCCTGTACGACACGATGCGGAGCCGCCACGACTACGACGAGACGATCAATGCTGTGGTGGACGCAAATCGTGCCCTTCGACACCGGCTAGACGCTGCGTGGGACATCTCCTTCACGTGGAAGCACCTCACGCCGGGCTCGAACCACCGGGCGATGCCGGAGGCGCTGCTGCTCGCCTCTGTGAGCTTGGCGCTGGCGTGGGGCTGGCGCGACGTCGCCGGCTGCCTGCTCCTCGGCTTCTTCGGGATGATGAGGCCCTTCGAGTTCCTGAGGCTGAGGTTCGGGGACCTCGTGCTCCCCTCGCGGACGTTGGAACGTCTGCAATCGATGTATGTGCACGTGGGTGCGCCCAAAATGAGACGCTTGGGCGCACGCCGCGAGCACATCAGGATAGATGTCCCGCAGGTTGCGTGTTTCTTCGAGGCCCTCTCTCTGCGGTCCTCCCCTCGCGTCCCTCTCATGCATGGTGGTGCCCGTGTTTTCAGATCATGTCTGGATGCCCTCATGATTTTTTCGGAATTAAACATTCAGACAAAGTTGGCATCACCCCCGCGCCCCTCCGTCCGGGAGGGGCCACTTTTTGGTATAGGCTCACAGATTCGCCAGACTGGGTTCGCTACAGGGGCAGGTGGCTCTCCAGTAGGATGTTGGAGATTTACATCCAAGAGGTCGGGGCTAGTACGCTCCTCGCGGACCTCCCGAGCCCCCTCCGTAGCAAGGTCCGGCTTTTCGCCGAGGCTGCCGGCGACCTCCTTTTCGAGGCCACCTGGCAGCTTCTGTCTTCGAGTCGTTTGCCGAGGCCGAGCGACGTCGACCCCCGCCCTTCCGGTCACCGTCCTCGTGTGCCGCCGCCGCTGCCAACAGAGCTCTTCGGTGCCCGCTTCGCTCCTCCCTCCTCCGCCCCTTCTTCCACCATGAGCGGTTTTGGCTAGTCGAGGCCGGCCCCAACTGAGGCCGCCCTCGAGCTGTCAGATGTTTGCAGAGGCAGTGGTGAGCCCGGAAAAGTGCATCGGCCTTGGGTTTAAGAGGAGCTTTTTTCAGCAGAGGAAGGGCATCGCTGATTGCAGTGATTCCTCGACGCGCGGGGGCTCTGGCTTCAAGCTCTCCCGTGCCCGCCCACCCTTGGCTAGTCGAGGCCGGCCCCAACTGAGGCCGCCCTCGAGCTGTCAGATGTTTGCAGAGGCAGTGGTGAGCCCAGAAAAGTGCATCGGCCTTGGGTTTAAGAGGAGCTTTTTCAGCAGAGGAAGGGCATCGCTATACATGTATATATATGTATATATATATATATATATATATATATAGATATATACATCTCCATCTCCGATAGTGCGCGTTCTGCGGTCGCTTGGAGGGGGGTGTTGAACCGGACCCCCCCGCCCCCCCCGGATGGAGGAGAGGGGGGGTTTCGAACCCCCCCCCTTCTTGTGACGGAGGGGGGGGGGTTTCACCCCCCCCCCCGCTTCCCCCTCTCCTCGGGCCGGCGCTTGCGTCGGCGGCGGCTGGCGGCGGCGGCGGGGACGACGATTTCCATTTCTGGGCCGGCGCCGGCCGGCGCCTGCGGCGGCGGGTGGCAGTGGCGGGGAGCGTCGACGAGGACGACGGTTGTGGTGGTGGTGGTGGTGGGTTGTGGCGGTGGTGGTGGTAGCGGTGGTTGTGGTTGTGGTGGTGGTGGTGGTGGTGTGGAAGCTTGTTGTGGTGGTGGCGGCTGTGGCGGTTGGTGGTGGCGGTGGTGGTTTGGTGGTGGTGTGTTGGTGGTTTGTGGTGGTGGTGGTGGTAGTGGTGGTGGTGGTGGGTTGTGGTGGTGGTGGTGGTTTGGTGGTGGTGTGGTGGTGGTTTGTGGTGGTGGTGGTGGAGCAGTGGTTGTGGCGGTGGTTTGTGGGCGGTGCGGTGGTTTGTGAAGGCGGTGCTGGTGGTGGTGGTGGCGGTGGTGGCGGTGGTGGTGGTGTGGTGGTTTGTGGTGGTGGCGGTGCGTTGTGCTGCATCTAGTGGTGGTGGTTGTGGCGGTGGTGGTGGTGGTGGTGGTAGATTTTGGTGGTGGTGGTGGTAGTGGTGGTGGGTTTTTGTGGCGGTGGTGGTGATGGTGAGTTGTGGTGGTGGTGGTGGTTGTGGTGGTGTGGTGGTGGTTTGTAGTGGTGGTGGCGGGTTGTGGTGGCGGCGGTGGTTTGTGGACGTTTGTTGTGGTGGTGGTGGTGGGGGTGGCGGTGGTGGTGGTGGTTCGGTGGTTTGTGGTGGTGGCGGTGGGTTGGGTTTTTGCGGTGGTGGTGGTGGTGATGGTGAGTTGTGGTGGTGGTTGTGGTGGTGGTTGTGGTGGTGGTGGTGGTGGCTGTGGTTGTGGTGGTGGTTTTGTTTTGTGTTGGTGGTGGTGGTGGTGGTGGGTTGAGGCGGTGGTGGTGGTGGTGGTAGTGGTGGTGGTTGTAGTGGTGGTAATCGTCGCTGCGTCTCCACCGTCGCCGGCGCCAGCGCCGGCGCTGCATGCCAGCGCCAGCGCCGGAGCGGGCGCGAGGGGGGCGGGGGGGGGTTGGACCCTCCCACCCCCCCCTTGAGCCCTTGAGCTGCCTCTGGTCATCGTCGCTGCGTACCCGCCGTGAGCGCTGCTGGCGGCCGCCAGCGCTGGCGCCGGCGCCGGCGCCGAGGGGGGGGGTTGGAACCCCCCCTCCCCGTGGGAGGGGGGGGGGTCGGGAAGGGGGGGGGTGGGGGGGAGGGGGGTCCCCCTGGCTTTGATCGACGGCGCCGGGTGTTGGGGGGGGGGGGCACCCCCCCGGGTTGAAACGCGCCGCCGAATGTTCCCAAGGCGAGCGCCCGTGAAACGCGTTCCGTCCTATCTCCAAGCGCCCTTTTTTCAGGCATGAGCCAGACGTCTTGAGAAGTGGACCTCTCGCTCTCGGCGGCGGCCAGCCGAAGATTCGCGAAAACTGGCGGAAGTCGAGCGAGGGCGGTGTGGCCAGCGGAAGCGGGCGGACACGGGCGGAAACTCGACGCAAGCAGGCGGAAGCAACATTGGCCTCGCAAGAGAGGTCAACGCTGCAAATGTTCCAGACTCGGCCACATACGTGTCGCACAGTGCAAACCCGCTGCCATGACCTCCGATGTTGTGGCTTGTTCTATCCATGAGTCCCCATGGCTCTCCACCCCTTTTGCGGGACAGGCTTCCTGCCCCCAGTCGTTCTTCGACAGTCCGGGCCTCTCCTGAAGCAGCACATGCAAGCGTGGGCAAGCGTACCTTACGCTACTCAGATCGCTGAATTTGCATCAGAATCCCTGCATGGTGGTCATGCTGGGGTTCGATCGTTGTCCAGACGTTGTTGTGACACTACCCTGGACTGCGCTGGTACCTCAGCGCGCGCGAAGCGGGGCGTGGTTCTAGTGAGAGGAGGATGCGGCGGAGGCAGATGGTGGACGATGAGCAGCATGATGGTCAGAAGGTGGAGGGGGATGCTATGGATATGGTGGAGGAGGGGGAGACGGAAGAGAAAAACGAGGAAACGGAGGAGGGTTACTAACGTAGTGCAGGGGCATGATGAGGAGAGCGGCACATAGGTCCGGATCTTCCTAGGACATTGCCTGACTTCTAGCCTGTGCCGATAGGCACTACGCTTCTCACAGCCCTGATCCATTCGCAGAGCGCGAGCTCAACGCCATAGGGCAAGGGCCGTGGCAGCGATCCACTATAACGTGGTTGCCTTTGATGAAACAATTGCAAGGAGTGATGACCGCGAAAAGGTTCTGGGAGGCTTGGTGGAGGAAGACGAGGGCAACGTCAATAGCGAAGGGAGTGGGAGTGGACCAAGACGGCCAAAGAGGGCCGCAGCAAGCGTCAAGACATGCCGTGGAGGGCTCCGAGAGTTCTCGAAAGCACCTCCAAAGAGCACCCGATGGTGTCGAAATCGTTGGACAAAACCAACAGAGGGATACGGAGAGGTAGAAGTGCCGACAGGGCGTTCGTTTGGAGTCATCCAGGGGTCCTCCAGGGTCCTTCTGGGGGCGTCAAAGAAGGCTGTAGAGGGCGCGACGAGGGCGCCCAGACGGGCCAAGATGGCTCCCAGAAGCCTCCAGGATGGCCGAAGAGGCTTCTAATATATCCCACGGTGGCCGGATAGGCCCTGAGAGTGTCACAGTAGGTTCCAAGAGAGCTCCAAGGGGCGCAACGCTCAGCCCGAGACAGCCACAATCGTCAACATCCGTCATGTTGTTGGTCGTTTTTCTCTACCTTCCTGCGCTGGTCGCTCGTTTTCAATAGAACTCTGGAACGAATTCTGCTTGCTGCAACCCTCTGTCGGGCTGCGAACTGCGCAACTGTCGCCACTTTCGTCGGCTCCTGGGAGGTACAGCGGAGTGACGTCTTACGCAGACCCAAGCGATGCCTCGCGTTTCCTGCGGGGCTGCGAGCTGCGCAACAGTCGCCACTTTCGTGGGCTCCTGGGAGGTCCAGCGGAGTGACGCCTTACGCAGACAAAGACGAGACCTCGCCTTCCCCGCGGTGCTGCGAACTGCGCAACAGTGCAACAGTCGCCACTTTCGTGGGCTCCTGTGAGGCACAGCGGAGTGGGGGGACACGCGGATCCAGTCGAGACTTCTTCGGCGAAGCATTTGAGGATACTGTAGACCCCTCAGTGTGTTCCTTTAGCGGTCTTGTCTATCATCGCCTCCTGTCTATCATCGCTTCGTAATTCGCTCCTTCGGGTTTTCGGCTCCACATGACGCTTAGAGGGCTTCTCGGAGGGGTCCGGGGCCAAGAGTTCCTCAACAACGTGCCAGATGAGCCCAAGAGGGCCCCAAGAGACCCCCAAGAGAGCCCAAGAGGGCTCCAGGAGAGACCGCAGAAGACGGCGTCTGGAAGTGTCTGGAAGCCTTGCGTGTGAAGGCATGTGTGCGTTTGCGGGCGAAGTGGAGGCCGCCCCGCACGCGCGAACTGGTACTGTGCCAATACTCTGATCTTCTTACCAGAGATTATATCATGTCCTTGGCCCGTTGGGCTGGCGAAGTTGGTGATGGTTTAGGCAGTGCTATAAGCAGTGAGTCCTGTGCAGGCCGAGGAGCCAGATTAGGACGATGACGCGCAGCAGGCTGACCCAGCTGAAAGGGTATGCGCAACGAGTTCCGCCTATGCCACATCGATTGCCAGAACGCATTCGACACATCGTTGCCCACCAACATGAACCCAGGTTTGGCGCACTTCCGGCACGACGTCAACGATCAGATTGACAGCATCGCCAGGATGACAGTCTTTGCGTATAAGGTATTCACGACCGATGATGCTGCTCGGCACGACGTGGAGTTGAGTATGCACGAGCCGCGATGACCATACCCATAACCCACCAGCCAACATCCGCGGGCAGGGAGGAGGGCCGAGTCTGATGAGGCGATGGGGTCGCGGAAACGCGACATATCGGGCCTGCGACACGAGCACGCATTCATTATCATCTTAGAAGGATCGGACGGGGCTAGGACGAGGATAAATCCGTTCCAGAGCGTTCCGCAACGCTCTTGGACCTTTCCGGAACGCTCTGAGAAGGCTGCGGCGCCCGAGACATCCTCCAGAGCCGCTGAGTCTCAGAGCTTCTCGTTTTGTCCTCACCCGAAATGATCTTCGTCTTGGCTTCGTCTAGGGAGGAGGAGGAGGGGGAGGAGGAGGAGGAGGAGGAGGAGGAGGAGGAGGAGGAGGAGGAGGAGGAGGAGTAGGAGGAGGAGGAGGAGGAGGAGGAGGAGGAGTAGGAGGAGCCCGACTGCGCCCCACTCCCTTGCGCGACCCAGCTTCCGCGGAGGCACCCGCAGAGGTCTCCGATGCCCAGGGCGCGCTCGCCCAGGACCTGCCGCCCCGCCCGCTCGCTGGTGACGTTGTCGTCGTTTTCTGTGTTTATGGTCGTCGGAGACGGGGGTGGCTAAAGATGGTGGCAGTGATAAGCGGGGGACAGACACGCCCTTCTCGTCCTCTCGTTCTCGTTCCGCCTCCACCATTCCCTTTCCTCTCCTCCTCTGTGGTGGGTACCCTCCTCCCCCGCCTGCTTTCCGCGGCCGCCCTCCGCCTCCTCCTCCTCCTCCTTCGCCGCCTCTTGCAGCCAGACGCGTCGTACGCCATGCTTCCCAGGCTACAGACCGCGCGTGCGGATCGTCTGCCGCGCTGCGACGGATTTTGTCTCTCGTGCCCGCTTCTCTGCCAGGAGGTGGCGGAGCTTCGTGCCGAGGGGGCTGCGCTGAAGGAGCGGCACCGCTCTCCTCCCCTGCGGAAGGGGGGGAGCAGCATGAGCAGGCAGGAGGAGAGCTGGAGGAAGGAGGCGCGCGGATGGGGACAGCAGGGAGGGACAGGTCGGGCAGCATGTGAGCTCGCAGCTGTTACGTACACGATCGCCCGGGGGACGGCATGGACCTCGACATGCCAGTTCTGCTGAGGGCGACGGCCGTGCGCTATCACCTCCGCAGAAGCGCTTTCGTCTTCTTGCTCGGGGTCTCGTGCACTGGGGGGCAGTGGACGGCGCGGCTTTTTGGATTACTCAGTCTACGACTCCCAGTTCGGGATTGCACACGGCAGCATCGCGAGTCTTGTGGACACCCGCGGCGCTTCTCCGCGCCAGTACAGCGCAGAGTGGGCCCGCTAAGTGTACATATCGCGGGCTCAACGAAGTGGCCGAAGAGCTTCACCATCAGCATGCATTCGTGCACAAGCAGTGCTACACCGTAGTCAGTTTCAGTTCCCGCTGCTTCCATGTGTACTTTGACGGTAAAGTCTCCGAACGCGGCGGTGGTGTTGTATTGCTCTTAATGTCATCAACAACCTTCCGCGGACGAGGAGTGAATCAAATCGTAGAGTTGAGCTTTGGGCCTCTACTGTGATTGCGACCGACCAGTAAACCTCAGCCCATGTTTTCGAACATTGCTAATTTGCTAAACACACTTTTCTGTGCGGGGAGGTAGAGTGCAGTCGAGGGGTGTGCGGGGGCCGTCCTGTATGTCGCAGGCCTTGTGTGTGCTATATTGCGCGCTCAAGCTTTATCGGGCTCAAAATTTGTTGGGCCAGCCTGCGGCTGACCTGGGCGCAGGCGCCACGTTTGTCAAAGCGTACCTCCTCGCCGGCTCCTCGCCATCTTTGGCATCTCGAATCATCTTGGCAGCAGCTGGGACGACTACGGGGAGGAGGCAGCGGAGGCGCCCAGCATCGAGGAGCCTCGAGGAGATACGGAACTCGCCTGGGGTCAGGGCGAGAGTGCATACGAGAAGGGTACGCGGAGTTGGATGATGGCGCCCTGGAGTCGATGGAATCGTGTGTATGCGAGGACGGGGCTTCACAGGACGTCTGGAGTTGTCATGCTGTTAGTTACCAGAATCCCTGGTACGGGACAATCCTGGACAGCGGTTGATCCGACGGGCCGGGTTCAGATCATATATTTACGGGGCGATCAGAAGCACGGTACGAAGCCCACCGGCAGAGTGCAGTGGAGCGACCACCCAGGTCTCACGTCGTTTCTGAAGGATTCACAGCGTCGTGGCTTCGGACAAGTTGATTGCTCGTGCTGCGATGGAGAAGGCCTCGAGTTCGGCTCCAGCTCTCCCGACGACGCCTGCAACTGGCAAGAAGTTGTTCGGCAAAGGCCGAAGCAACAAGTCCAATTTCGCGCCCAGGGTGTTCGGCGGAGCCTTCACGACGGGCGTCTGGGCCTTCACCAGGGCGCACTATGATTTCGTTGCAGGAGCTCTCTCCGTCGGCTGATGGGTAGCCCGTCGGCTTGGTGTCGTGACCTGGTTTTCATGGGCTTACAAACGAGAGGACGCCAGGCCTTCGAGATGTGGGAGGACGCTGAGGGCCTCATGTCGGACATCTCGGAGATGCATGAGTCGGGCGAGCTGGAGTTCATCCTGTTGTGTGTTGGTGGTTTCTTCTGGTGATTATATGCGCTGTCCTTCGTGCGGATCGGGTCCATGTTCGGCTTCGACGACTTGGGATCAGACTCCGACTCCGACGGCGAGATGTTTCGGGGAACGGAAGTCTCCGATTCAGATGGAGCCCCGAGGAGGAGCTCCTGCAGACCTTGAAGCAGCACAATAACGACATGGCCCAGAAGGTCGGGGGCATGCGTGCGCGGGCGGCGCCGACGGTCCCTTCCAGGCTCTACAAAGGGGACAGGTCCGCCAAGGTGGAGCTGGAGGAGTGGGTGCGGAGCAAGGACCTCGGCCGCTGGCCGATCGCCATGGCAGCGTGCGCGCTGGGTTCGATCCTCGATCAGATGTTGTTCAGTAGGCAGCACGATGATTACATAAATTCTCAAGCTGGCGAGTTGTGTTGTCTTCGTCTCTATGCTATCTGGAAAGCGCGCGAGAATGTTCGTTGCCGCGCAGACTGGGGGGGGGGAGGGGGGGGGCAGAGGCGCAGAACGGAGCGGAGTGGATATCGAAAGTGGATTGGCCCTTGGCCGATCGGCACCTGAAGCTGGACGGGGATACGCCGGCCGAGAACGCGCTCGCAGACGGAGAAGTTTCTGAGAAGTTAAAGCGCCGAACCACCTTCCAGATGCACCTCGGAGCTGTGCGTGAAAGGCCAGGCGCCGAGCGGCGGTGCGCCGGAGATTCCGCGGCGGTCTCTGGTGAGGTTGGTGATTCCTGCGCCAGGCCGCGCAGAGGTGTTCCGTGGCTGAAGTTTTCAGTGTACTTATCCCTTCTCTTTGCTGTTCGGATCGCGACTTTCCTCGGCTCCGCGAGCGGGCTCAAGGGGGTTTTCAGGCGCATCGGCGGGAGCTCCGCATCGTTGCATTTGGCGGGGCGACCTGGTCGGGGCGCGCGGCGCCATAGACGCCGCGCAGATTCCGTTTGGGATTGCGCGCGACCGGCCGCGAGAGCGCGATCTCCTGCGGCGTCTTCCTCCCCCGGCACCCGTCGAACGTCGCCCGGGCTCGGTCGGGCTGGGGCCGGGCGAGATGGCGAGGGCGCGGCGTCGGGCGCGCGAACGATGGCACTTCGAGACCTGTCTTCTGGGGTCTTCTCCCCGTGGACCACGAGGCCGCGGGCGGGGGCGGCCGCTGGAGATTGGCCCAGGGCCGTGACGTTGCAGAGCAGGATTGCGGGGGGCCCGCGGGCAAGACATGCTGCTCGTGTCGGTTGGCTCCCAGCGGGCGGCGACGGGGCGAGTTCATCTGCAGATTGCATTCCCGAGGACGGTTGCAGGAAGTTAGCCAAGACGTCGTCTTCCACGAGAGGGGGGCCCCCTGTGACCAGGGGGGCTGCGTGTTCGATGGCGGCGAGTCAGGTTGCCGTGCTTGCGCCAGGGGCGACCCCGATCCCGGCCGCCGAGCTGTCGGGGGCCGCGGCGACTTACGCGGCCGATTTCGAGGGGGAGATGCTTCTCCCGCGGGGCCAGGTGACTGGGACAAGTACAACTCCACCAGGACCTACTCGGATCCGAACTGGGTGAAGGCTGATGCACGTTACGAGCTGACCCTGAGGATGTGGCAGGGGGCGACGCTGACGTTCGTCGCGACGACCCGCCCCCTGGTAAAGATATTCACGGTGGTCAAGAAGGTCGAGGCGGGTCACGACGGCGAGCCGCTCGTGCACTCGTCTCGGCTGGTCTGGGACTGCCGCCAGGTGAACTGTCTCTTCAGGTCCCCTCCCTGGGTTCCGCTGGGCTCCCCAGCAGCCTTGGGTGCTATTTTACATGGAAGAAGGCGTTCGACGATGCAAGGGGACATGCCCGATTGGTTCTATATACTCGAGAACCCCAGGCAGATGGCGGAGCATTTTGCCCTGGGCCAGATCGAGCCGCTCTAGTTTCGGAGGTTCTCGAAGTGCAAGGGCGTCGACGTCGGAGACGCGCCTGGAGGCGCGACTGGTCTGGGCCCGAATGTGAATCCGATGGGATTTGCATGGGCAGTCTTTGACGCGAATGCATGTTTGGTCGAGACGTTCGACGCTGTTTCGGGCTAATCGAAGTCGGGGGCCCATCGATGCCCGAATGCCGTAACCGGCCGTTGCCCTCTAATGCTGGTTGCCACCAGCTGTGCCATGCTGGGGAACGCCGCTTGCCGCTGCTAGCCGTTGTTCAGCCTTGATGCGAATTCTGGTTTGCGCCGCTAGCCGCTGAAGGACCCCCGTGCCGCGCATGCTGTTTGCTGCCGCTGCCCAGCCTTTCTGCGAATGCTGGTTCCAGCCGCTGGCCGTTGCCTCGCCCTGCCGTCAATGCTGATGGCCGCTGCCGGGCCAGTCGTCGTCATCGAGCCGCGCGCCGAGCCGCCCAGCTTGAGTTGCCGCGTGCCGACCGGCAATGGTCGTAGGACTTGCGGTGCATTTGTCGCTTTCCTGCGTGCGTTTCGACCAAAACTGCAATTAAGCAACGCGCCAAACGACAGTGTGATACTGCAGAGCACGCGCATTTGTATGCGACGCGGCCCTTTCGGCACAGTGGCCAACGCTATTAGAGCGCTCGCCTGAAGCTTTGGGCGCGAGCATCTCTGGCATAACTCCTCGCTGCTATAAAGCACGCGCGAAAGCTTTCATCTGCTGCAGAGCATCTTCGGCGCGCCCGCGGCAAGCGCGATTGAATCGCAGTGGTCGTCAAATTCGCGATCCCATGCTTTACCGCTGCGGCCAGCTCCTTCCGCGCAATTCATTTATCTGCCCCCTAATCGCGCTCGCCCCGCCGCCGTAGCGCAATGTAGTAACTGCCCTGTGCGCGCGAAGTTCTCACTTGTGAAGCACCGCGCTGCTAGGACAACCATCTGACTAAGCGCACATACCAGTGCAATCTTTCGCTGGTTCATATTTTCCAGATCGCGCAGCGGAGGGTTATCATTTTGCACGCCTTCAACAGGTACCCGTGGAATGAACCGCGAAGCCTTGTGGTGTCAGGGCCTGTCCCGGTCTGGTCAGATTCGCGGAAGCCCATTCCCCTTTGATGAGACAGAGTGCGGAGCATGTTGCGCCATCGTGTTCGGAATGCTGTTGCCGCCGACATCCTGTGCGATTTGTTGTCCAGAACCGGGCGCTCACTCAGGCCACGGGGATGGTGTTTCCACCTGTCTTCGGAATGGCCCGCTCGCCTGCCCCCAACGGGGTTTTGGGTGACTCATTGGAACGGCTTTCACGGCTGGAACCCAGCCGCGCAGTGCCCCCGAGAGCACGTCGCTTTCGGGCCTTGGATATATTCTTCTGATATTGCGCTCTTGCTGTGGCCACTCTCAGTTTTCCCCGTGTTGGGGCTCCCCTGGGCGCGCTTTATTTCCCCTGCTGCCCCTGTGGGTGGTGTATTCCGCGTCGCTATGGTTACTGCCTTGCTCCAGGCTGTGCTGCGTCAGCGACGAGATAGCCAAACCGCTGTGGATGCTGAAGAGCCCCCCAGGGGGACAGCTGCGCACCAGGGGAGATGATGGCACCGCTGATTCCGTGGGACTGCTCAGCAGCGTCGGGGTGGGCATTCATGGACGATCGACGTATCACGGCGTCGGGCGAAAGTGCCGGAGCCGACCTAACCTATGGGCTGTCACAAGCTCAAAATTCGACGCCGACGTAGGACTCGTTGAGAACGTGTTTGAACGCCAGCAGTGGGACGGGAGCCAGCCGAATTCGGTCGAGCACCTCGGCCTGACATGCGACCTTGCTCAGCCAGATGGGGCCGTAAACCTCCAGAGGTGTTTGGGCCAACCTTGAGGGAACACTTCATATCCTCAGACGTTTTCCAGGAGCAGGTGCCGGAAGAGAACGAATGGCGGCGGCGTGCCGTTCCAGTTCTCTCACCCGTTCTTCCTCGTATTGCTGGTGCTCTCCTTCGAGCGGATCTTCAGTCTCAGTGCAATTATCGGTGTGCTAGGAGGTGATGAGCAGAACGTCTACAGCTGCATCCTTTGTTCAACCCTGCCCTCCAGTGTATGAGAACAGCTATCAGCGACACGCCGATCGACAATCATTACTTGTTTAATGTGTTGCGCACGCACTTCGAGTTTCTCGGGCTGCAGTACCTTGGCCATGAAATGTCATGGGGTGCAAAGCTCAGTGTCTCGCGTGATGGTGGCCCGCGCGTCCACACGTTGACATCTCAAGTCCGAGGTGGTGCATGTTGGGTTTTTGAGCGACCAGCCCGCCAAGAGCCCATGCTGTACGTGCTGTCGTTCGAGTTCGCAGCTTGCAGACTGCGCGCCTGTGTAGGAACGACGACGAAGTTTGGGAGGTGACGTTGATGCGTCTAGCCGCTCAGAGTGGAAGAAGTGGTATTCCTTCTTGAGCGAGGATGAGATCCAAGCGCTGGGCATACACTGTGCAGGTGCGGGCCAGACGAGAACATGAACAGCTGACAGGCATCAGGCGCAACGGACGTGCCAATGGTGTGACGAGCCATAGCCATCCCTTCGGCATCTTTGGGCGCGATGCCCGCACGTCGAGGAGAAGAGGCTGGCCACACAGACAAAGTATGACATTCCACAGCTTTTTGTGGAACCAGGCTCCCTGAGTTATTGCAAAGAGTGGATGAGTGGATGGGCAACCTTGTCATCCTCGACGTCTACTGCGAGACGAGCTATACTTCAAGTTGCTTGAAGTCTGCGATCAAACGCCTAATTATCGACCGCGTTTGCGTCGATGCAGATATGCTGTGGTTCTACTCCAGGGTTTGGGTATTCCACTTCGACCTCTTGCTTATTGCCTTGCTCTGCTGCCATGTCGTCTGCCATGTCCTGCCCTTTGACTTGCCCGCCGCCACCCGCGTGTGCCTGCCAACCACTCCGCCCCGATTACCTCTGTACACGTCAGCTGTTGCTCTGTCGCCGTCTGGCCAGTCCAATCGAATAGTTTGCCACAGGGTGTGGGCCGAATATGTGGGCCCACAGGGAAGCCTTCTCGGGATGAGAGGCGAATGAGAGGAGGTGCAGGAGGACGTGGAGGTGGAGGAGGAGGAGGGGGACGAGAACGAAACGAAGGAACTGGAGCTGGAGCTGGGATGTGGGAGGAAAGCAGGGCTTTGGAGGTTGGCGCAGGAAGATGAGGCAGCGGAGGGAAGAGGATGATGGAAGAACCGGAAGGGGACAGGAGAAGGGTGATGAGCAGGACATGAGGGAGAAGCCGGACTTGGGCAGCCAAGTTGAGCAGCTATCGAGCAGGGAGTGGCTCATGTATCGCCAGGCCGCTTTGCTCCTATTAGGGAGGCATCTCGCAGCTGTACCATGACTGACTGGCCAGACAGACGCCCGCGCGATGAGTAGTGCAGACGATGTGTCTCGACTGGCTGTATTCGCGGCGATGCGAGGCGAAGTTGACCACTGCATCAGCATATCGTCTTTCCAATGTGACGTGTAGCATGTCCAGTACTCGGGGATATTTCCGACCGGTTTCGGTTTCAGTTTCAGTTTCAAAGAAGAGCTACGAGGACACGTGACATTGCAAGTCTGGACTGCGGGTATTCGGGCTCGTGCGTCTGCTAGACTAAGCTGGCGAAGCGGGGCCTCACGGGTGATACTGCGCTACCCTCATTCGATGAGGAGGTGTCTGGGGGTGGCCCGAATGGGCGCGATTGGATCAGTTTAGGAGTGAACCGATGGGAGCGAAATATGGTGATGATGCGGAGAAGAAGGAGGAGAGGAGAAGTGAAATCGAGGCGGAAGAGGTTGATGACGATGCGGAAGGCGATGGCAATGGTAGTGATGACGACGACAAAGCTGATGAGGAAACGGGACCAGACCGATGCCAGCCCAAACCGTTGATGTTGCAACCCGCCCTCCTATCCCAAGTCCCATCCACATCGGGATATAAGTTAATAGCCACTATAGATCCCATCCTATAGATATAACCACTACGGCGATCACACCCGTTGAGGTTATCATGACCCTGTATCCTTTCATGGAAAGTGCCCGACGTAGCACGGCATTCGCATCAGCGATCATACAAATTTTCGGACAAGCAAGCCTGACACACCATGTACCGAGTGTTTTCAGGATGCCGTTTCGCGTTTCAAATGATGTAGCTGGTGCAAATTTTGAGAAACCGTGTGTGGCGCAGGAGGCAGTTCATGATTTCAATGGGGAGCGATCCTCCATCCGTTCGTCCGCAGGGGATTCCGAACGCTATGACGCTATAGTCTGAAGACGTCCGAGGCTATACATCGACTTTGAACATGAGCCACACTCCATCCGTGTAGCTGTTATGATTTCCAATGGTTGTGGTGCAAGATGCAAGTACGCATCACGCGAACGTCAGATGTAGAAAAGGCGCCGTCTTCCAGCGGTGTGAGCGCTGCTTGTTTCAAGGTTTCTCATCATAGAGCTGGAGGCGGCCTCAAGTGATATGGACAGCCATGCCCTCCATCCGTGTAGCGGTTGGCAACTTAAGACACATGCTTGCGGCGCTAAGGTGGGATCCGCGTTTGGGAGCACAACGCGCCCTCCATCAAATCAGCTGTACGGGTGTGCGCGGCGCCATGGCGAGAACCACATTTGAAGAAGGACCAGCCGTCATCCGTGAAGCCGCTGAACATTCAATATCTCGAGCCCCACCTTGTGAGGAAGCTTCAGGCGAAACGTCGGGACCGCCCTACCGACACGCTGGGAGGAAGCAGAAGGGAGAACAATCATGGTGGATGAGGAGTATTCGGAGCAACACCAGCAGGAACTGTGCAGAAGGAGTAGTATGAGCAGACAGGAGACGGATGGTGATGCTACGAATGATTATGGTGATGCTGCTGTTGATGATGATGAGGATGACGGATAAGATGTTGCTGATGATGATGTTGATGATGACGTTGATGATGATGATGATGATGATGATGATGATGATGATGATGATGATGATGATGATGATGATGATGATGATGATGATCATGACGATGCTGATGATGATGGTGATCATGGTGATTATGATGTTGATGATGTTGATGATGTTGATGATGATGATGCTGATGCTGCTGATGATGATGGCGATTACGCTGATTATGATGATGACGCTGATGCTGATGACGACGATGATGATGAGGAGGAGGAGGAGGATGCGCACCAGGAGGATGCGGATGAGGAACCAGGGCGGAGGAGGAGGAGGAGGAGATGCCGACGCAGGAGTAGCGCGAGTGAAACCTCTGGGGATGTTGAGCTCGCCAGAGAAGGGGCAAGGACATGTCCAGGCACGTGTTGCCAATGGTCGCGGCACGGTGACGACGAGGCTCTGGAAGTGGCGTTCGATGACGACGATAACGATGGTGAGGGACCATACTTTCGGCATTCATTTCGGTGCTCATGGGATTCCGAGGGCGACCATGGCGATGATTATTATTGATAATGGTCATGATAGCGAGTGTGACCATGACGCCGACGGTGCGCGGTGATGGTGATGGTGGAGGTGATAGTGGTGAAGATGGCGGAAAGGACGACGACGATGATCACGATGCGTTTGCCTGCAGAGCTGCTCAAATGTGTTCGGTTCGCGCATCAGCGATTGCCCCCTTCCTGTCTGGCCCGCTCTGCCTCCGGGCCAGGCCGCAGGCGCTCGGTAGCTTGCCGCGCCTCCTCTGTGGTGGGAGGAGGAGTAGGAGGGTGAGGAGTTTTTGACACTAACCGTCTGCCAAGCCTAACAATGGAGAGAGGACGGCGCCTCCTCCCTCCTGAAGTTGTGGCTGCTCACTGGGGTGGCGCTCGAGGTTTGTTTCGTCCTCTGCCACCCTCGCCACCCAGTCGGACCACCGTCGAGCCAAGCCACGATGGCTCAGCCCAAGACGCGGGCCGCAAAAATAATGACTGCGTGTGCTCACGGCCACCACCAGCAGTAGTAGGATGTTGAAACTCAAGACCTTCGCGATAATACAACACGGGGAAATCATACCACGGACATGAGACTGCGCTCGACAGAGACCCTTGGACGCTTCGGATGCTTCCCCTTGCAAATGGCCGACCAGGCGCTTTGGGGCCCATTAGAATTAAGCAAACCAGTTACACTTTTCAGACAGGTTGCGAGGATGCCCGCGACTAGAATACGCAAAGCAACGGACACACACGAGAAGCAATGCATTGTCGGAGCAGGCTGAAGCAATGCGCCTGTGCTGCCTGAGGCGCAGGGCTCTCGGATCGATGCGAGAGGGGCAGACACCTGGAGCTGGATGGGGGTCTCTCAGGAAGCTCGCAGGCAAGTCTCGCATTGCCAAACAGTAGAAACGCGAACCCAAGAGTGAGGCGGCATGGCTGGTCCAGGCTGGCTCTGTCGACGAGCGTCACACCCTTCATCAGCAGACGAGGGCAGGCTGGCATAACGTCACAGGACAGGTTGGCGACAGCCTTGGAAATCCGATAAACCCGTTCTAACCAGCGAGCCTCTCCCTCATTAGGCTGGTGGTGGCGAGACAGCGAACTCTTGGCGACGGCGTCGGCCAATTTGTTCCCCGCCGTGAGGAAGCGGTCGTGTCGCTTTCATCGGGGGAGTCGGCAGTGTGGGCTTCACTTCAAAAACTCGAACTACTGTGCGGGTGGTGGTGGGAAGCGAGACTCCAGCATACGGGTGTTTATGGCATACAGCTTTGACGAGAGGCTCGCCGGCCTGCAGCACGACGTTTTGCAGTCCGGAAGAAGTCGACGAGCCCAGAAGAGCGTGCGCTGCAGGAACAGCATAAGCGCCGAACTCCCCAGCCTGGGCCGTCTAGGGGTACAGGGCCCTAACAAGACTGCTAAAACGAGCTCATTCATTGCCTACGTCATCAACTAAAACCATTCCCCAACCAGCCGAGGAAGTTCTAAAATCTTGTGAGAAGCCTATTACGAACCGTAAGCGAAGATAGTCCCGTAGATGCCAGGGAACTCGACCTTGTCGCTGTGTTCACTCCACGCCGATGAAAGTGCATGTTCCTCAGAGTCCTCACGCGCGCGACGAGGCAGCATATCACCAGGATGGCGAAACAGACCGCGGGTCTAGAGAAGGACGTTTTCTTCGTTAACTTCAGAGAGGTCAGAGATGGCCTCGAAAGATTCACCTGCGCTCCGTCTACGCAGCTGGACACAACCAAAGTCTGTGATGAATGGTGTCTTTGCTATCCTTGCATAGGTCGCAGACATCGTCGACCTACTAACCTGCCTGCAGCGCTCGAGAACGGGTCCCAATCGCAGCAACGGAAAATGATGTGATGCAACCTTTCCCGTACCTGGTTCGTTTAGTGGACTTCATCTCAGCATGAAGCGGTGTCCTGACACACGCGGGCCCGTGGGATTCTAGAGAGCAACTTGGAGCCATACTCACTTTCGTGCATACGCTTAACCGCAGCACGTAAAAGCTTGCACAGCATACCGGGGGAAACAAACGTGAGCGAAACTTCAGTGTCAAATCATCAAGACGTGTGGACGGTATCGACCACTCGATTCGAGCCAGGGAAAGTTTCCGTACCCCCCCTCCACGTAGACGAGCCTTCCTGGAGAAAAACTTTGGCCCCGGACTCCCCAAGCTCTCCTCAGGGAATAACAACGGGGTATAACCGAGGCCGCGCGACGAGGTCTGCCATCGGTGTCGTGGATCCTCAGGTTGGTGGCCGATGCGCAAATTGGGCCAGCCAGGGCCCCAAGATAGGATCGGAGCTCCGAGGCCACAACGAGCGACGACGACACGAGCGAGGCGTTGTCTTCCGAGATAACAGCCCTCAGGTCGACTTCAATGGCCCTCTGGAGGTCTCTCGCAGTGGCCCCGAGGTTGTTGATAACTTTCCGAGCGGATCCTGAAGAGCTCAAACCGTAATCGTCTATGTAGACGCACGTTTAGGGTACTTTTCTGCGGCAGTCAGATGCTGTCCAACAACGGGATGGCGTGCAGTAGGAGGGTGAGGAGGAGGGGGATGATGATGATGATGATGATGATGATGATGATGATGATGGTGATGATGATGATGCTGATGTTGCTGCTGCTGATGATGATGCTGATGATGCTGCTGATGATGATGCTGTTGCTGATGATCATGATGGCTGCTGGTGATCATGGTGATGATGATGACGATGATGATGCCGATGGTGATGATGATGTTGATGATGCTGCTGACGATGATGATGCTGATGATGCTGTAGATGATGATGGTGGCTGCTGCTGCTGATGATGCTGATGGTGATGATGCTGATCATGATGATGCTGCTGCTGATGATGATGATTATGCTGATGACGATGATGCTGATGCTGATGTTGTTGATGTTGACGATGATGCTGCTGCTGCTGCTGATGATGATGATGATGATGATGATGATGATGATGATGATGATGGCTGCTGCTGCTGATGATGATGATGGTGGTGATGATGATGGGGAGGAGGATG